GTGTATTTGTGTTTTTTTTATAAAGTGCAAGTGTAATGATCGATTGCGAGCTTTGGAATTCTTTCAAGAATCTTTTTCTCATGCATTGCACGGGGTCCGCTAATTTATATATATATATATAGGAAAGCATAAATTAAGGAAATACACATGTTAGTGTTCCTTGAAAGGTTCAAAATGATTGTTTCCGCGGAAAAAGCCATGCCAGTGAGTAGGGGTGGACCGTGGATAGCCGGGTATCCACCTGACCCGTCAATCCGTTAATGACTCATTTATGGTTGGGTTCAATTCAAATCCATCATAACCTAATTTATTAATTTTTCATATACATAAATTCTAAAAATATAACTATAAGAAAACAAAATATATAAATAAAAATTGCAAAATAATTATGAAAAAATACAGAAAATGAAGAAAATAATATAACTTACAAAAAAAGGAAATACACATAAAATTTACAAAAGAAATATAGAAATTCAAAAAAAATGAAAAAAAAATCAGAAATTACAAAAAAAAGAAAACCATAAATTACATAAAAAATAACAAAAATTGTAGAATAAGCACTTGTGACTCTTTTGTCCTTCATTTTCTTTTAAATTTTCAAAATATCCAATCCAAAGTGAATGAATAAAAGTACTTTGATAGAAGTTCTTTCGTTAAAATGTTTTTTGTAAAAGTACTTTTAAAAAAGTACTTCCAAAAAGTGTTTTTCATAAAAGTGCTGTTGTAAAAGTGTTTTTATAAAAGTACTTTCATAAAAATATTTTTATAAAAATACTTTTGTAAAAGTGTTCTTATAAAAGTACTTTTGTAAAAGTGTTTTTATGTAAAAGTACTTTTATAAAAGTGCTTTCATAAAAGTACTTTCGTAAAAATTCTTTGCTAAGAAGTCATTTGGTGAACATGTTCAAAACAAACTTTCTGCACTAAAAAGCAGTTTGAGAAAGCATAAAAAGCTCCATTTGGCCTTTTCATTTACAAGAAGCTATTTTTAATTAAAAAAAAAAAAAAGAAATTGCTGACTAGCTGAACATTTTTCAAAAAGTCCATCTCAAAATGTGGCTTTTTTAGAAGCCTATTTATGCCGAAAAGCTCACACCGGAACAAATAGATGGTTTAAAACAAGTTAACCCAACCCTTCTCCTTTATCTAGGCTTGAGATCAATGATCCAAAACAACCATAGTGGTATTATTATTGTTGTTGTTTGTTTGTTTCATGGGACTCCAAAATGGAGCTATCCCGTCCCCCATGCCATAACCCCTAACACAAGTGAAGACGGAAATCAATCACAAGTATTGGCTACATCCTATAGGAGACCTTATCAATGAGCTGCTTGGCACCTTTTATACCACAAAATTTAATCTTTATGGGTAATAACTTGTACCTCCACCAGTCTAATCAAATAATATTGCAAATATTGTGTATTAATAACATCAACAATATGAAGTAGGAGTGCAACTTTTGCAGATTAGGATTGAGATTTTGTCAAAATTTCAATGGGTCCAATTCAAAACCTAAGATTAAAACAGTAAACTATTAACTTGGGCTAACCCGACTGGCACCCCTACTTTGAAGATTTAAATGAAACAACCAAAGAAATTCCACAGAAGCAAGCAACCGAGGAAGCCGCAGAAGAAATTCCCAAAAAAAAACGTGTTTTTTTTTTCCCCTGAACTTTCATTCTTGTTCATTACATCTAATGTGCTCTTTCAATGTCAAGTTTTTGTCACATTATATCTTGGAGTTTGTATGTCTACTACTACCAGATTTTCTAAATGAAATATAATGATGCCACTTCCAGCCAGCAGCTGGCAAGAATTAAACCCTACAATACTCCTAAGACTAATGGGATTAATGTATGGCCCACCCAAACACATTTTTCTATGATCTAAATTAAACCTTTCAATGACTTCATTATAAAACGCTGCTATTGCTAATAATCATGGTGAGAGCAATCATAACCAATCCAGTCTCAAGCCAAACAACTAAGTCGGTTCCATCAAATGCTATGTCGACGGGGCAGTCCCCGAAAATGGTTTTTTCGGCGCCGGGCCGGTGTTATTATTAGAAATGTTGATTGAAATTTTTATTTTGAATGTGTTTATCATTTATTTATAAGGATATGAATTGAAGTTGTAAGAAATGATATAAGTGCTTCTTGAATTGGGTATAATAGAATAAGCTGTTTTTTTAGTAAAAATATCATCGTTCTGACAAAAATAATAAAAAAAATGATCAAAACTGTTTGAACGGTTCGAATGGTTAATCATCCAAGTCAACAGTTTGTTGATCAAAATCAATAGCTTTTGAGAAAAATCCAATTTTGAGGAAAAACGAAATTGGTCACTTGATCGATTCTCGGTTTTTTCAGTCCAATCATTCGATCCGAACTGGTTTTGAAAACCACGAGAAATATAATAGAATAAGCTTAAGCACATACTTTCCTTGAAGGCATCAAATTCTCTTTTTAATTCACTGGTTAGAAGATGATTATTGAATGAGACGTTAAAAATATTACTAAACCTATTGTGTTGGACACTAGTTTGTTGATCTCCTTGGCATATTACGAGTACAATCGTCCATTGCACAAGTCTCTTATCTCAATTGTCGTATATCTTGGTTTTGTACTCTCACAAACTACAACTTGGTCCATTCCTCTGAATTTCTTCTAATCTATTTTGGATGAGCTTTAGTTATGGTGCATAGCACTGAATACCAACAAAAAAGAGTCGTAAGTGATCCTTCCAATCTATTTCCTCATTGCTATTCATTCTCTTATTAAAAATCATTTTCCAAGGAAACCATTCATTTTTTTTTCTTCATTATATGCAATCAAACGTAACCAAAAGTAAATTAGGAGACAGAAAACAAGGTGAAATTATAATTGATACATTTCAATCCGGAAAATTTTACATTCTTTGCTTCAAACCCCAAAACCTCTCATCCTTGGTGGAGCCACGATTTAATCCCATATATGTATCAAGACTCTCCACCATATAACCAACCATCTGGTGACCTTACCATAATTAGCACCTTCACTTAGAAACAAATGCAATTATATATGTTGACGGCCACTGGACCAATGCCAAAATTACTAATTTTTTTTCCTTTTTGTCAAGGCTCTCTAATGCAAAGAAAACCATTGAGATTGGACTTTTCATGGGGTACTCTCTCTCTAACTCTGCAGTCTCTTCCATGCCTGACAGTAGCAACCTAAAACCCTCCCTTCAATTCTTTATTGTTGTTTTGAACCTAAATTAGGAATGCCAATCGTTCAAAAAGCTAGCCATCAAGCCTAATTTAATGTCCTAAATCAAATAAAAAGCTCATCCCAAATGCTTCAATACTTACCGCTTGAGTAGTGGGTCTAAAACAAATTACATAGGTGTAATTTACTGTATTCATTATTGGATAAATCACCAGTTTAATTAGGAATTATATTTGAGTTACAAACACTCTTTCTATATATGTGGCTAGAGCTGTAAATCAGGCTGTGCTGGAGCCCGGCCCATCACTGTATCATGTGTGGCGTGCTGGGTTTGGGTTTTTGGGTCCACGGGCCAGCATGGCATGGCACAGCCTGCAACACGGTTCAGTACGACCCATATACGTATGTATAACAATCATATAATTATACATATTTATATGCATATGCATATTTAATAATAATTGTATAATATATATAATATATTAATTTTTATTTTCAATTTTATTATATTATTGTATTCCAATTGTATTGTAACTTTTTTAATTTCATATATAAACAATTCTATACATCAAAATTCGTGTAAAATAAAATTTTAATTTTTTTTTCTATTTTGTTAATTTATTTTAAAATTTTCATTATTTTTCAAATTCTTTTAGATATGCCTCCCGTAGCCTAGCCCAGCCCAAGCCCACCTGGGCTTGTACCATGGGCTGTGTTGGGCTTGACCTCTAAAGTATCCTAGAGGAGGCAAACATGGCCCACCAAAGCATGGGCGGCCCATAAAATTGTTTCGTGCAAGGCTCAATTTATACCTCTATATGTAGCTAGCAAGGTGTCAAACTTGGGTTTGGCCATCCTGAATCCAACGAAAAAAAAAAAAAGGATAATTAGGTTGGAAATGCATACTTGATATCAAGTTAGGTCTGTTAAGGTTGGTGTATCATGTATTGGGTGAGCATCTTTTATACTAAGAGTGAGAAGAGAAAGGATGAAGATGATGATGATGAAAGATGGTTTATTTTTAAAACATTAATTACTACTATGATGTTCATACATCATTTTTACATGTAATTTATGTTTTTCTTAAACCTAGGTAGTGGGCGAGAACCTTCATTGAAATATTGCTCATAATACAAATAATAATGAATTAAACTAACAGCAAGAAAAGTCAAATGAAAGTCTAAAATCTCCCTACTCTATTTGCACGAATTTAGTATGACAGGTTCTACAGAAATGCTCCCTACTCTATTTGACATAAGTCAGTCATCACTTTGATTTTGTTTTCTTTCAGGCATTGTGCATCTTTTCTGTATGTTTTTTTTTTTTTTGGGGGGGGGTATGATTTGATAAACTTAACCCTTTACATCTCTCAAATTAAAAAGGGAATAAGATACATTATATTTGCTTTTTTTGTTATAATTTAGAATTTATTATGTTCTCATTTCTTTCAAATTTAGAAAAACATAAATTTACAGATTTTTTAAATAAAAAACTAAAATAAAATAGATCTTGTTCTCTTATAACAAATTTAAGGTAGTTGAAGGCATTTCTCACTTGATTATTAAGTGGGGCTAGTAATGGGGTAAATCATAGGAGCAAAATATACAAATTTCTAAGATATGAGGGCGTAAATGCAAAAAACCCTTTCCCTTCTTTCTGGGCCGGACCCAGTTTGTTTTGCCGTGGGCCTGGTGTAAGTGGGTCTGATTCATCCATGGCCCTGATCGAAAGAAGTATACACCGTTATAACGGTTAGTTTTATTTTTTTTCCCTTTTGTTCTTCCCGGCCTTTTGTTCTCAATTTAGCAAGGAGTTGAATCCACGGGTCTCGGAGAAAAAAGCTCTCTTTTCTTCCTCTCTGCAACTGCAGCAACCCTATTTCGCGCCATTGCTACAAGAGCAACCCTATTTGAAGAAGAAGTTCATTCTAACGGAAGAAGAACTTCTGCGTCTTCCTGTTGAACCGACGTCTTGTTCAATGATGGCGCAGATCTCTCCGTACGCCTTTTCCGCCGTTGGAATCGCTATCTCCATTGGTGTTTCTGTGTTGGGTGCTGCTTGGTATGTCCTAGTCTCATCACCCCTTTTTTCTCCCAGCTATTTTTCCTTCAGTTGTTAATGCCATTTTGCCGGTTTGGATCTCCTATCTCAAATTACAGGGGAATATATATAACTGGAAGTAGTCTGATTGGTGCTGCAATTAAAGCTCCCCGCATAACTTCGAAGAATCTCATCAGGTAACTAGTTGGGTTTGATCTTCAAACTGAAAAGCTCTACCTTTTATTTTAATTGATTACTTAAAGTTTAATTCACGTCAGTCCGTTTCTCTCAGTTAGATTGTAAATATTTGTCAATTTAACATCGTTTATACTTGAAAATTCGATCTATCAGGGGGTCCCAACTTATTCAATATTATCAATATGCAATGCTTTAATGGTCATAAATATGTGCAGTAGATACGCACCAGAAGACTGACTTGATAAATCTCCAGTTTTATGTGTTGCAGTGACGCAGAGAATAGATTATTAATTAGCAGTTAGTATCACTTTTATGATAGTCAGCATTCATGTTTAGTATGCTTAATTAGACTTGCACTTCTTGTTCCTATCTATTTACAACTATAGTTGGGGTAGTATCATATCTTTAAAGGAAGTACCACTTTATGAAGTTAGATTTCATCAGTGAGGAAAAGGGCTAGTATTTTTCAGTCTCTCCTCTCATTTGGGTGATTTCAGCTGAACTTCAGTGGCTCTAGAAATAGTTCTATAGGAAGGGATAATGGTGGGCCATTATAGGACCTGAAAATTAAGTAATTTTATGTTATAACAGTCCTTCAGACTTCAGAGGTATGATACTACCTTTACATGATACTGAAGTAAGGAGACTTTTTCTGAAGTTTCTTTTTATAACTTTTATATCTTTTGTTAAGCAAGATTTGAAGACCTTTTTTCCTACTCGATCTTTATAAGATCTTTCCTTTTATGATAGAACATAAAAGTTGATGACTCAGAAGAAATAAAAGAGAAGAAGCCATCTTTTGTGAAGGTTGTAAGGACCTTTTTTTTCATATGATGCCCAGATATCAATATGGGCATGGACATGGACATGGATACAGGAATGGGGGATATCATTCTCCATTTCCTGAAAATCCCAGACATGAATATGGGTATGGGTATCCCATTAATATGTTTATATCATGCTTTTGTGTTTACTTTTTGAATCTAAATGTCTCAAGATTTATGTCTTGTCAAGTTTAATTAAATTTCTAGCATGCAATTTTTTTATTGTATAATTTGTTAGAACATACCATTTACATATTTTAAACGTGATAATGCTATAGAGCATGCAGTATCTAGTCTCATATCTAGCAATTATTGTTTCTGGCACAGTGGCACTGTTATGTCAGGCATGTAAATTAATCCAGGTATCATAGTTTTTTCCTACACTGAATCTCTTGTTTATGAACTTCGGTTCTATGGTGTGGGAGTTATCCTTCTTCAACTCACAGCCTTTATAAGGTTGTAAATGAAGTTCAACCCATCTACCTTTCTAGTATCAATTTGAACTTGAGTGCCTTTCTGTTACAAAATTTTCCAACTACCTTTCTAATAATATATGCTCTGAAGGTACTTAGGAACTTTATAATCCTTTTCACATTCACTAATTCTGCTTGTTCCTTCAGTTCAGGCTACCTACACCTATGCTTTAACATATTTGTATTTCATTTTCTGGATGATATTATTCAAGTAGAAAGTGAAGGGCAAAGCAAATGTGTTTTCATCCAGAAATTTGAGACAACATAACTGGGAAGCTCTCTCTGGGCTAATGGTAGTGACATTGAATTTTAGTGTCCTTGCTTGTGAAGAATATTTACTTTTCAACCCATAATCATAGAATTAAGGATTGGAGTATCTTGATATTTTATTTTTAGCTTGGATTTCAAGTGGTTTAAACTTTGAAGATTGGTACACAAGTCAGTTGATGTTTTGACTGATGGTCCTACTACTACTGCTGCTGCTGCTACAATTTTATTGTTGTTGTTGTGATTATTATTCAACATGTACCAGTTATGGAAACCAATAAAAGAAAACAATAAATGTTCTTCCCACTACCCTCTTTCATAAGCTTTGTATTAACGTCAGTTATTAACTTTCTATCTAGAAAACTTGTGTATTTTCTCAATAATTTTCTTCCAACTCAAAAAGGAAAGAAAATGGAAAAAATCTCAAATCATACTCATTGTACTAACAATATGCATTCTGGTCTGGAAACATTGTTCATTTTTACTGTACATGGCTTGAGATTTGCCAGTAAGATCAATAAGATATTTTTATCCTAAAATATGTATATTTCCTGTAATAAACTCTGGGGTCAAACATAGATTGCGGAAATTTAATATTGTTTAATTTTTTATATCATTATATCACCATGCCATGACTTTTGAAGGCGTGACATGCTACACACTTGCGGGTACCTGGAAATTTGGCAGCCAAGCCACATATTATGGGAATAAGTGTTTAACCATTACTGCAATCTGTAAATTCAGAGTTGGACTATCAGTAAATAATAATCAAAGCTAAATTTTCTGCCGACAATAGCTTGTAAGAGAAAGAAACCTTTTTGCATTATATGGTAACAAATTCCATTTGAAATTTTGAATATAAATGAAGCATATATATGCAAATGTATGGGCAATTGAGAAGTCTGGAAGAGATAGGGGCAGGCCAAGAAGATCATGGATTGAAGTAGTTAAAAATGATTGACCGATAAAATAGTGATAAATAACTTGAATTCTGATAGTTTATTAATGGATATGGAACTGAACAGAGAGGAATGGCAGAACAGGGTTCATGTAGTTGACCACCCTATATAGTTGTGACAAAGCTTTGTGGTGTTGAGTTTAGAACTTTGTAGGCATTTTTAACTATATTTACATGTGTTTTTAATTGCTAGCAGTAATAGACTAGCTGAAGTTACCGAACAGCCTTTTTTGTTGCTATATAGATATTCAGTCCTAGCTTAGGCTTATCCACTATGTAACATCTATTTATTAAGGTTATCTCCATTAAGGTACAAGGGGATAAGGGAGCCATCATCTCTTTATTGTAGAATCACTTTGTTTTTCTTTTTTTGTAAATTTTTAGTAGCATCTTATTATTTATTATGGGGTAAAACTTTAGTATTTATTTATTAATAAAGTAAGACTTTTTCACAAACACCAATCTTGAGAATTTAAATTGAAATGTTTTGCAATAACTGCAGCACATCAGTTAAAGAACTAGGAAATTACATCTGTATGTGCAGAAACTTGAATCAACTCTGCCAGTCTGAGCTTGCCTTACTGGTCCCAAGCCCCAGGATAAAGGAGGAGGGTTCGTCAGGTTGACAGCTGACACTAAAACATTTGCCAAACTCTCATTTTCATGGATCCTTTGATCTTTCCATGTGAACGGAATGGAATTGTTAAAGAGGATTCATGTAGCCGACCCTATATAGTTGGGACAAGGCTTAGATGATAATTATGATGATGATGTACGGACTTTTGTGAGACCATTATCATGGATGCTGATTTATCCTTCCATGTGAACAGCATGGAATAGTGAATAAGTATTCATGTAACCGACCCCATATGGTTGGGGACAAGGCTTAGATGATAATGATGGTCATGATGTACATTTGTCATGAATAATCCCTGTTCAACAGTGCATGATAATGTTAAATTACTTGGATAGAAAGTAGAAATCATTAAGGTCCACCTAAGGAAAATAACAGTTCTTTTCTCACACATTTACATCATGCATCATTGTAACTGTAGGCATCAATCAGAAATTAAGGCTAGTAGGTGTCTCTGAACTGTATACTCAATCACATATTCAGAACCATGATAGCCAACCGTGTAATCATTTATTTTCTTTATGCATGATGAACGTGTTGTCTATTCACACATGATGATATTGTCCATACTTGAAATCCATCAGCATAGCTCATATGCTTTCGTAAGTACTCATCAGAGAGCTCTTAAAACTGACTTTACTTTTCAGTGTGATCTTTTGTGAGGCTGTTGCTATTTATGGTGTTATTGTGGCAATCATCCTTCAAACAAAGCTAGAGAGTGTGCCAACATCCAAGATGTATGAATCAGAGTCTCTTAGAGCAGGATATGCAATCTTTGCCTCAGGGATCATTGTTGGCTTTGCAAACCTTGTGTGCGGGTGTGTTTTCAGCCTTCATCCACATACTACAATAAGAATCCGTGCAATAACATAGTAATTTATTTATTTTTCTCTTTTTTTTATTATCAACTGTTTTGGAAACAGGCTATGTGTAGGAATAATTGGAAGCAGCTGTGCATTATCTGATGCTCAGAACTCCTCACTTTTTGTGAAGATTCTAGTGATCGAGATCTTTGGTAGTGCACTTGGATTGTTTGGAGTAATTGTGGGAATAATCTTGTCATCTCAAGCAACATGGCCTGCAAAGACATTGTGACTAGCCATTTCCAGTGGTACAACTTAGTACTTATTCCACAGTTTATTACAGTAGCAGAGAATTATTATTTTGGAGGCACTCATTTTGATAAGGAAATTGATTCTGGTGCCAAAAAGCACATCCTTACAATTTGCTGTCTACTGTCTGATCAGAATATGCATACATCCTACCTTTCCCAAGGTAGTTATTGACATTATCGTTCCTCCATTCTGTTGATCATTATAGCCACATATGTAGTTGCAGAGATTTAGATTTCTGGGCTTGATAATTTATAATGTTAATAAAAAACTTCAGCCCATATGTGACACTCATTTGGCCGGTGCTTGGCATCATTGTTTTTTTCTTTTTTTTCTCTATTGCATCTGAGCATAATCAGCAACCAAATGCTCTTCCAGATATGCAAGATTTTCGCCATGCAACATATTTGGTAGATGTGTTGACCAGGTGTTGTGTTCTGGTTTTTTATCAAAAATTTTCTTGCAATCAGAATAGGATTACTTAGAAAAATGGTTTGTTTTTTCGTTTTCTAATGTTACATATCATAGGGGTCATTGCAGCAGCAAGCTCTCCCCAATTGTAGAAGTGTCAAATTGATGTTTTTACAATTCCTCCTAGCAGGAATATCAATGGACATGTTTGCTTAAATAGGCATAAACAATCATGTATTTAGCTCATTCATTGTAAAAAAGCTGGTCTGCCAATTTATTTAAATGCAACAACAGAGAAACACCATGATACTAAAAACCCTCTTTGGCACATTTACAGACCATTTATGGGTAGGTATTGTTATGCCATTTCATTTATGGTCCTTTTTATGGTCTGCTATGTAAGATACCCTTCTACATTGTCTCTAGCCACTGAATAAACTTTGGGTAGGTTGGTAGCAATTGTATGCAAGAGCTCATCATTTCTGGGGCCTCTGGGATAAGAACTGGAGTTGTGGGTATCAAAATTTTCTTTCCGCATTGCTTCCAGAATGCTTTTAGCTTCCTCAGATTGAGATTGCCTATTTTGTGATACCAAAATGTGACTGGACCAAAATACAGGTCTAGTAAAGCAAATTGAGACACAGTCCATTAGTTACTTTCTCGTATTACAAAAGCTACTATTCTTCTACTTAATGGAGATGCTCAGTACCTGGGCTTACATTGTTGGTGTCTGTTTTAATGCCTTAAGTATTGCACAAGGTCTGAACTTTGAACTATTCCCTCTGTGCCATGCATCCAAAACTTCCCAAGTGTAACAAGATCTTGGAAATGGAACCTTTGAGCTCAAATACCATCTCAACTTTTGGTTAGCTAGTTGCTTTTTATCCATTCTTTTGTTGACTGATGAAATCTAAGTAATTGGATCAGCAATCCAAACCAACAAGGCACCCAGGTAGTTAACTATGAAACAAGCATGTCCAGATTTTATTTCCTGGTAAACCAAGGCAAAGCATGGCTGTACATGGTGGCTCAAGAATCAATGGGAAAGGGATTCCAAAGCAGAAGAGAGAACAACAAGACATTTGGAATTGCAATAGGAATTAACGGGTGAACGTCACTGCCCAGGCGTTTTCTTCTCAATCGCTTTTTGAAATACCGTCTCCTCTGTACTTCACCTCACGAGGGAGGAGCCTCTTCGACGCCCTTCGCTAAGATCAATGGTGGGGGCTGCTGAAATGGGTATTTGGACCGCCAAGATGTCTCGGGAAGCCCAAACTTGGAGACCTCTTCAAAAAGAGAGAGAGACCCCCTGAGATGCAGAAAAGGGAAGGAGTTCTTCTGGTCTTTGTTGCTGAGAACTGGAGGGTAACCCCAGTTAAGGTAGCAGGGGACCTGCGTGGAGATGAAAAGCTGAGAGTGGAGAGATTGGTCTATAATGGGGCTTGTTAGAATATGGGTTAGGGCTTGGATTCTTTGCTCCCATGTTCCTTCCATCCTTTGGTAACCCCATGTTCCGTGTTTCTGAGGATGATGATTCAGGTACAGGTGTAGAAGATGAGGCAGAGGGGCATTTTGGGTACTTGATTTTGAGCGTGAGTGATGATTCCAATTTCATGACCATGACTAGTTGCTTACCTACCAATCAACCATCATGGCTCCGAAATTCTGCAGCCAGAAAAACCCGACCCAAGTTCAACATTTTCAAACCGAGTCCATCTCCATCCGCAAGCGATTTTGATCGAATTGGGGGTAAGTTACTAACGTATACTGTATATCTAAATATGATCCGATCATAATTCCGGAGACTCAGACATGTTTGGAGTGATTATGTTCATTTGGCACCCAATTTTTTCAAGTGTTTATTTTAAAAATAAGCACTTATTTTATATTAGGCATTTGATGTTTTTTTTCTCCAATAAACACTTAAAATAAGCATTTGTGATTTTTTGCCTTTTATTTTTTTTTCAAATTTTCAAAATATTCAATCCAAAATGAATGAATCAAAGTACTTTGATAGAAGTGCTTTTATAAAAGTAGTTTTACAAAGTGCTTTCATAAAAGCAATTTGATAAAAGTACTGTAAAATATTTTATAAAAGAGCTTCTGCTAAAGTGCTTTTATAAAAGCGCTTCCGTAAAAGTGCTTTTATTCGTAAAAGTACTCTTAAAAAATGCTTTCATAAAAGTACTTTTATAAAAAATGTTTTTGTAAAAGTACTTTCGTAAAAGTACTTTTATAAAAGTGCTTTCGTAAAAATACTTTCACAAAAGTACTTTTGTAAAAGTGTTTTTGTAAAAGTACTTCCATATGTAGAAGTGTTTTCATAAAAGTGCTTTTGAAAAAGCAATTTCATAAAAATTCTCTTAAAAGTGTTTTCGTAAAAGTACTTTTATAAAAGTATTTTTGTAAAAGTACTTACTTTCACAAAAGTACTTTTATAAAAGTGCTTTCGTAAAATTATTTTCATAAAAGTACTTTTGTAGTGTTTTCATAAAAGTACTTTTATAAAAGTGTTTTTGTAAAAGTACTTTTATGTGTTTTTGTAAAAGTACTTACTTCCACAAAAGTACTTTTACAAAAATGCTTTCGTAAAAATACTTTCACAAAAATACTTTTGTTAAAGTGTTTTCATAAAAGTACTTTCATAAAAGTACTTTTATAAAAGTGCTTTCCTAAAAGTACTTTTATAAAAGTGCTTTCCTAAAGCTTTCATAAAAGTATTTTCATAAAAGTACTTTCATAAAAATACTTTTATAAAGTGCTTTCATGTAAAAAGTACTTTTATAAAAGTGCTTTCATAAAAATAGATGTTTTGTTTAGGGAGAGAAAAAAATTCACTGTGGAGGAGGTCTGTGGCTGGGAAATATGGAGTGGTGAGGTTTAGCTGGGAAGCAAGGAGGGTGAGAGCTTCATAAGGGGTGAGTGTTTAGAAGGGGATCATGGCCTATAATAAGGATTTCAGAGACCTTACTAGTTTTGTGGTAGGGGATGGATCTAAAATCAGATTTTGGGAGGATGAATGGTGTGGGGTGGGTAAACTATGTGAGTTATACCTGAGGCTATACAAATTATCAGACGCTGAAATCACTATTGGTGAATGTTATGAAAGAAGGGAGAATCAGTTGATTTGGAGCCAACAATTTAGGAGGCCTCTACTGGACAGAGAAGTTGAAGAATGCATCTTGCTATTAGAAAAACTTGAGGGGATAAAACCAGCATTTCAGCAGAGAGAGAAGCTGTGGTGGAAGGAGGGGAAGAATAGCAAATTTACAGTTAAGCCATGCTATATGGCTCTCAGCAGTTCCATCTCAGCCTCAAGTCATATTAAAGGCACTTGGGAAAACCCAGTCCCCCCAAGAGTTGAGGCTTTGGCATGGCTGGTAGCCATGGACAGTGTATTGACAGTTGATCATCTGAAATCGAGGGGTTTCAGCATGGCTAACAGATGTTGTCTGTGTGAGGGACAGGAAGAGGATGCTACTCACCTATTCATATGTTGTAAGTTCTCAAGCTTCTTGTGGAAAGTATTCACATCCATGTTCGGGGCCTCAGACTTTCACCCAACTTTAATAACAGAAATCTTTTCTACTTGGCCCAGGCTGAGTGGGAGCAAGAAGGTAAATTTGCTATGGAGATGTATCCTATTTGCAATCTATTGGAACATTTGGAAGGAGATGAACAGAAGGATATTCGAAGATAAAGCTTTCAACATGGACAAGATCGTTGCTGCTGTGGGCAGATCAGTGGTAGATTGGTTGCTGATTCTTCCAGAGTTCAGCCAAGCAGAAAGAGAAGACTTCGTCATTAGATTAGGAGAATTCCTGGATTTTTAGATATGTATTGTGGAGAATGCTAATCTGAATTTTGGTCTTTGTATTCGGGTGATGTCTTGTCACCTCCCGCTGTAACTTCTTTTTCTCTTTAATAAAAATTTTTATTTTTACTTATAAAAAAAAAAAGAAGACAAATTTAAAATTTATATCTGGCAATGAATGAGTGGTATATATACACTGGTGAAAGAATGAAGAAAGAAAATACATAAAAAAATTTTTACCTGACAACAGGTGCAAATTGAAGAGGTACCTTACACTCTTACAGGCATGTCCTTTTTTCGCTTAAAATAAAGCTGATACTTCATGCACAAGATTAATGTAGAATCATCAATGGAATTAACTCACGCATTTCCAAGAGTACACAATTTGGAACCTACCCTACTTTTTTAAGGCATTACGCATCTCGGACTGGCAAGTGTGAGAACGTACGTAGGTTCAAATCGGAGGGCAGCCACTTTGTGTAGAAAAATGCCAAAGGTTAACATCATATACCCAGTCTATGCCTCCCAAAACCCCAGATAACTATGACACTTGACCCTTGCTACTACTTTTTGCACCACTGGCACTAAGCGAGACGCCCATTTGTGAGGAACAGATCCCGTCACCCACTTATGTTGAACCCCCTGACAGTGTTAACAGTGAAGGAAAAATTACCTAACTGCCATATGTTATTTCATGCTTTTCAAGCAAAAATAGAGACTTGATGATGTCTAACGTTGGTTGATGGCAGACATGATATTCTTTCTATCATATGAAAATTCTCACACATCACATAGATGGATCAGATCCATTGATTTATTTATGGATACCACTTTGGCAAACCAGATCTTTAGTTTAATTTTGCCACACCACCTGGGATGGCCTGGATATTTGGGCCGACTTGGTAAAATATTTGGATGGTCTAGTTTGATCAAAGTCCTGGTATCACTTGGATGGTTGAGATTAATCCCATGATGTTGGGAGACCACTTTAGTGGCTTAGATCCATTAATCTTGGCCATTTAAGCAATGTACAAAGATTTCAACTATTCTCGGTCAATTAAAGCACCAAAATTTATAAAAAAATCTATGTTAAATAAAGTGATGTGCAAAATGTGCCAAAGATTTGGATCACTGTTTTCAAAATCGGACTGGACCGGAAAAATCGAGATCCGGTCACCTAACTGGTTCTGTTTTCCTCCAAAACCATTGATTTTGGTCAGCAAACCACTGAACCGGCCAGTTAACCGTTCGAACGATTTTGACCATTTTCCAATTTTTTATTTTTTTTATTTTTTTTTTGTTAGAATGGGCCGGCCATTCGGGTCAAACGGTTGGGCCGTTCGAACCAGTAACCAGACCCTGACCGGTTCGGTCAGCAATTCGTTTTTAAAAACAATGATTTGGACCATCAAAATGGACTCCTATGATCAATCATTAATCTCGGCCACCCAAATCATGTAAATCATGTACAAAGATTCTAACTAACTTAGCCCAACCAAAAGAGGTACCAAATTAATAGGTCTAAGCCCCTAAAGTGGTCTCCTAAGATCAGTGGGTTAAAAGAAATATTGTCACGCCAGATTTTGATGGCCCAGATTTTAGGTGTTATTTGGAGCTTTACTTGAATGACTGAGATTAGTTAAAATCTTGGTACATGGACAAAATTATTTATTTTCTAGGAAATCATTTTTGATAGCCTAGATTTTTGTTTTGATTTCGTATAGTTTCTTGGATCGCCAAGATTAGTTGTATCTTAGTACATAATTTGGATGATTGAGATTAATGCAATGATCTTAAGAGACATTGAGTTCAATGGTCCAAAATCTTTAGTCAGAAATAGAAATATTAATAGAGATATATCTATTTCAATATTACTAAATGGGTAGAGAAAATTGTCTTCTAAAGGGCATTATAGGGTTTTAGAAATGTCTGACAACATACATGACAAGTACATGGGTATATACCACTAACTCTTATGGAATTGTGATGAAAGGGCTTTTCTTTCATGATATGAAAGTACAATAGGCAAAGTGTCACATAGGGTTTAAGTTTCACATACCCTTTAAAAAATGTTGAATTGTGTTAATGGGACAAAATTGCATGACTTATATCAAAATGACATATTCTATACAAAAATGGATTAGTACATCTTTCTGGACTGATTTTCATTAATTTTCATAAGTCCAGAAGATACACCGAAACTCATGCATGAAGCACTAACTTCAATGTGACATGTAGGATGGAAAATTCAAAGGATCCATTTAGAGGGTGATCAATTACCAATTGATTGAAGACCTTGAATATTTTAGATAATGAGCTTACCTTGTTATCTTCCCCTATTTCCTCAATAATTTCAACTGTAGAGCCATCTGCTGTATCCAAAAGTAAAACACCCATTCACCAAAAACTTCATGCTCCCAATCCCTGATGCCTCATGACCACTAGTACTGCAGAAGAATTAAACCCATCAGACCATCAAGCAAGAATTTAAGTAAACAGAAGCTGTGCATTAGCTATTTTCATTAAAATGCACCAAGTCTACAGATCAATTTAGTTACTCCACATTAAGAAGTGTTTAACCTTCTTGATTTGGTTGAGCTAGAATTTTGAATTAACTAGACAATGAGCTCAAGATCACATGATTAGCAAATACTTGAGAAAGTAATGGCCAAAATACAAATCACAGATGCTTGCTTAGCCAAAATAACTATTTTCTGCTAATTTAGTTGTCCTCGTTGATGTAAATCAAGACACCAATGCTTTGAGGAATAAAATAAGAGAAAAACGAAAAACAAAATCCTCCTCAAAATTAAGAGAAGGTCAGAATTCTAAAAATAAACACACATGCTAGTAGCCAATCCATCTGTACAATACCTGAATAGTTCTCAACCATCTGATCAGGACAAAAGTTAGTTAGAGGAGAGATCAAAGAGTACTAATATCTCAAAATCCAGTTGACTGGATGGTGGGAAAGGATCTTTGAGGAAGATTGCTGAAGCTAGTTTCAGAAAGCCAGCATGCTGGTCAAACTTGGATTGATTTTCTTCTGTTTTTAGGGGATCTATTGCCCAAACCTAACCATGTTATAGTTCAAACTCATTTGAGTTTGTAGCAGTTTCTGGGCTTCTAAGTGTTGTTTGACATCAAAGCTAACTTTTCTTGTTTACTTGTCATGTTCTCTAACTTGTGTTATTTTGTTTTATATGGCCCTATTAGGCTTCACATGGATTACTTTGTGTAAAATTAAGTTCAATTTTGCGTTCTTGTTCAAGTAGCTTAGGACCAACGAGGAGGTAGAATGGAGAAAAGTAGTTTTGTAAACGAAGCAAAGTGGAGAAGAGTAATCAAAGCTGAGGCAAAGCAGTTTTTGTTTGAGAGCTGTGAGGTGTAGGGGAAAACAACTCTGAAAATCAGAGGAGTGAAGTTTGCTATGGTGTTTCTGGTAGGTGAGGAAGTGTTGGGTTGGCTTGGGGAGTTTCTGGACAAAGCAATGAAGAAACAATGGAAGGAAGATTGTAAAGATTCTATAGTAGAAGGAAATAGGAGGTATGTGGCAGAAGGGTGAAGAAATGCCAAAGGTAGATTCCTAGCGTTGGTGAAATATTTTGGCTTAGGGAAGAAGTAGATGGTGTGCTTCCCGAAAGGAAGGAAAGGTGAAGGGTGGAAGGAGATTTCAGACACCCTAAAAGAATTCCTAACATTGGCAAGTGGTTCACAAGCTCCAGAACTACTGAAGTCAGAAGAGAATCATCTACAGAATACAAAGGAGGCAACAGGGACAGGTGAAACAAGAAGGAGAAGAAAAACCCGAATTTCCTGGGAACAGGTGAAATGAGGAGAAGAAAAACTAGAATCTCTGCCTCTCTGGTTTTTGCACCAGCGAGAGCAATCTGACCCTGTTGTCCTATTGCTACATGGACTATCGTTGCAGCATCAGCCCAAGAAAGCGAATCAGAGTTGTTGTCTTTTTTGTATTCGGTTGAACCAGCTATCCCATGCTAACCCGTTAACATTATGAATGTTGCCCCTGATGACGTGGTCGATTGTCATTGGTGGATTCACGCGTCTAGTGAACCCATGGGTGCACAGAACGTAGGTTGTTTGTCATGTAATATAACCACCACCTAGAACATGTGGCAGTCGTGTAAGGTTCTTCTATGGACCACTGATTATTCAAAAGCTGTTAAACCAATAAAGCGGTTACATCAGTTAATAAATGTACCCCTCCTTTTTGAATTTGCCTATTTTTTTATATTTCGGTCTATTTTTGAATGACAACGATTGCCCTGTGAGCCTAACTCGTGTCGTGTCCTTACGAATTGAGATTTGCTCCTTACATGGGGCGCCTCATACGGACCTCACAGGCACATCCCACCGTGCACTGGGAACATCTCCTGTGAATATGGGATGTGCCTGTGAGGCGCCTCATGTGATGAGCGGATCCATTCTTTGTCCTTACACTTTAGCTCGGGATAAACTCTGTAAAACGACTTAATTTTCTTTAACTCGGGGTAAGGAGCAGATCAAATCCTTGTTCACTTACTCTGGTTTTCTTTGCTTATTCTAGTTTTCGTTATTCATCTTTCATGGCTGAATGAGTATATAGAAGAAAAGATTAAAGAGGGAAATACGAAATTGGAGAGGAAATTTGAAGAGATGAAGAAGAAATTTGAAGAATCGAAGAGTGAATCCAAATTGATCTGTTTGTTTTAATTTCTATTTTGTATCACTATAATGTTTCTATTCTAGTCACATTCAAGTAACATTTTGATTGAATACTATTGTTAGGCATGAAAAGCCATATGATAATTATTATAGTAAAACTATCTATATACTTTGATATTATTTTATTTGTTGTTTTTTTATGTTTTAATATATAGCATTATACTGAAACTATCGATATACTTTATATAAAAATTCTTATATATAAGAATTATAGTAAAGATTGTTGATATATAAAATTATAATTTTTATATATAAAACTGGTGAATGACCCCATACTAAGTACAGGGAATCAGT